GGTCCATCTTCAGAACTTGTTACATCATTATGATGAGCTCTAACATCTATTTGTTTAAACACCAGTTAAAAGTTGAAGTGATAATATTTTTATATGTTTAGTTAAATGAAATGCATTGTTAGATAATTAATTTAAATTGCACAGGGTTTGTTTTGGCTTTGTTTTGGGTTTGTTTGTTTGTTTGTTTGTTTATATTCATGTATAAGACAAGTTTTTCAGCACATTTTTGATGCAGTTTCTGTGGTAAAATTAGGTGCCTTGGCTGATATTCAGGTTGACTTATACTCGAGTATATACGGTACTGCAATGAGCCCACTAGGAAATTTTAAATCGTATATGTGGTTCACATTGTGACCATACTCTATTTCCATTGACAGCATTTATTTAGAATCCCCAAAAGTATTTCAATGGCACGTGTATTAGATATAGCTGTATGTATTCATTAGATATATGTGTATGTGTCTATGTAAGGAGCCTACGGGCACTGTATGCTAGGTAGTGGGCTGCTAACCAAAAGTCAACCGTTCAAACCCACCAGCCACCCTACAGGAGAAAGACGAGGCTATCTGTGCCCGTGAAGGGTGACAGTCAAGGAAACCCTACCTAGGATTGTGGTGATGAGTCAGAATAAACTGAATGGCAGTGGGCTTGGTGTGTCCATATGTGCAGATAGTTAAAACATCAATAAATATGTTTATGAAATTCCTCCCATGTTGTCAAACAGAAAATCTCTACAAGCTGCTATCAAAGAGTTCAAGAAGAAAGAAAATGTTTTGGAAATGATGGTGGCAGTCATTGTACAAATATGCTTGATCTAATTGAATTATGCATTGTTATAATATCTGAATATCTGTAGAGTTCCCAATAAAATGATTTCAATTAATTAATTTTTAAAAAGAAAATCCCTATAAAGACACAGATAAGATATATGTATCTTGTATATAGCAATATATGAGAGAGATGCTATTTATTGAGTTCCAACTTTATGATAGGGTTAGGGATAAGTGCTTCAGACAGATTGTAATCGGTCATCCCTCCCACACCATCAGCCTGAAACAGAGAGGCTGAGTG